GGCAGCGCGGGGCGCAGCAGCGGCCGCGGCCCCCGAGCTCGCGCGCGTTGCCAAGCGGCCGTTTCCTTAGCAACCCCGCCCGAGGACCGGGGATGGAGAAAGTGGGGGGCGGATACTGGGGGGGGGGGAAGCAAAGAAAGAATAGAGAAAAACAATAAAGAAAGGCAAGGAGAGAAAAAAATCCCGAGTTCTATCCCAGTGATGCGAGCTGGGTGACAGGCAGAGGCGGGTGGGCTGCAGGGTCCCCGCCGCCCGTGGCGCGGAGGGGCCGCCGCGCGAGGGGAGCGGGGGGCCGGCCGGGCGCAGAGCGCGGGGACGCGGCGACGGGGCGATCGCTGCCCCGCGACTGTACCTCAGGAGGCCCCGTAAGTTAAAGTCCTCCAAGTTGTGGTCGGCGCCATCATGACGCCGGCGACTGGGAGTTGTGTTTTTTGGTTTGTTTTCTTTTTATCTCGCCGAGGAGACCAGGTTCAGTTAACACGAGGCCAACTAGTTGTCTTTTTAGCGTTTTTCGGGGCAAGGTAGGGATGGTGGCGGGACGCTGCTTTCTGCAGGGACAGAGGCGCTGCAAGGCCTTGCGCTGGTGCAGCTGGCGTGTCCCTTGGGGCAGCGACTGTGGCTTGGACACCCCCATCTCTGCGCGTGTTACATTAAGTTGTGCCTGTGCAGGGCGAGTGCGTGCGGTCAACGCGGCGCGTGGACGGCAGTGTGTGCAGCACCCGCCAGATGCGCGCGCGGCTGTGCACGAGCCGTCCGTGCTCGCGCAGCCTGTGCACGCGCGGGCCGTGCACGCGCGAGGCCCGTGCACGCCGCACGCAGGCGCGCTGGGCTGGCTGGGCTAGCCGAGCTGGGACGCAGAGTCGGGCAGAGACAGGCAGAGACCGCAATCCAGCGCTTTAATTGTGCGGAGCCAGGCGGCCAGGTTATGTAAGAGGCAGTTTAACCCGTTTGAGCCTATCAGGCGGAATGATCTGCGCATCCGAATCGAGGCAGGGCAGAGTCATCAGCCTGAACGAGGCACAGGGTTATATTTTTTAACAACCTTCCCACCGGGTCCAGCAGGCTAGCCCTGGACTGCCGCCATCCACGCTCTCGGTGCCGCAGCCCCCTAAGCAGCTCCACCCACGGCTCAGAGCCTCTGCCCCTGCCCAGGGCAGAATGGGGTGCTGGGCCTGGGGCTGCCCCTTGCCCCATTTTTTTTTTTCTTCTCGAGCTCATTGCCAAATTCCAGATCCTAAGCTATTTGGGGCCATTTGCAAATCGATGCGAGAATCCAGGCTGGAATCGATAGCAGTTATGCCAATCAATCTTGTTCAGTGAGGAGTTTGGGAAGCAGAGCAGGAAAGTGGAGGAGAGAAACAAGTAATTAAAAAATAAGCCACGCCTCCCTTCCTCTCTCCACCCATCCCCTTTTAGAAGTCTTTGCAGATTTTCTTTGCTGGACTCCAGTCCTTTCCTTGGAGGAAATAAATAAAGCAAACCCTCTCCCATCCCTAGCTCGTTTTCTGTAATGCTAGCGGGGTCTTTTGGCCAAGCGCACTGAAGCAGTAATCTCTGCAGGGGTCAGCATACGGCTGCCTCCCTAGACTGAGCTTTTTATGAGGCAGGCAGGGAGTCATTTTGCTTGATGGTAGAGGTGCTCAGAGTGATTTTTATCGTCATGCGTGAGGATGGATGGGGGTAGGGAAGGGTTCCCATCGCCTGTGACCACCCGGACTGACTAATCGAAGAACCCCTAACTGAACTAACACCCCAAGGCTCCGCAGTTAACCAGTCATTTGCAGCAGGAGTTACTGATGTTATTAGTATTCAAGCTTAACTCTGAAAACCAGCTCAGAAACAGAGTGCAGTAGTATTCAACCGCATTTTGAAACGTCAATAAAATGTTAGTCATTTGCGGATGAATGAAAACATTTTCTTTACCGTCTGGTATGCTAGGGAAATAATTGTGAAATGACAGACTTGCTAATATCGATGCCAGATACCTAGATAACACTGTCATCTTGTTAACTGCGTTTTTCGTTCTTGCGTGGAACACTGATGGATAAAGCTTAAAATTATCCGGGGCAAACGGGGGATTAGAAGAATTGACATGTCACGCAGCTGAATAAAACGATGCAGTGTATTTCACTGGTTCCCAGTGAAGAGAAGAAGGCGCTGCTTCTGCGTCGTGACTGTGTTTAGTGTTATTTTATGCAGGGATGGGAATGCCAGCGTTTTCTAGTACAAGCTCTGAAAAGCTTCCTTTCCTAACTGCTGTTTCCCAGAGATCTGACATCTTCAGTGGCCACGGGGGAGAGGGCGGGCGGCAGAGAAGGAGGAGGGATTTCTGTGACCAGGGATGGAGCTCCGGGAGCAGTTTTAATATGTACAACAACCCTTCAGGCTTGTAAACGGAAACTGCAGCCACCTCTTTTAAAGACAAAGAGTTTCTTTTCCTTATTCTGCTCTCTAAACTTCCATTTCACTGATCCTAACAGAACCCATTCAAAGGGAGCCATGAGGAAACATAGTTTATAATGTCTGGATCGTTGGAAAGATATCTACACTTAGGCCACTGCCACTTCAAGTGGGGGCAGGAATGTGGGTGAGACAACCTCTTACACTGTGCATTTCGGCTAGTCCTCTGATGACAGACGAAAAATGAAAAGGTTTTAAGACTTTCCTTTTTCTGGACATTTTGAAGGGCATATATCTGAGAGGCTTTTACACGTTTCCAATAATTGCTTTTGAGGACCTATGGTGCTTCTGAGCAAAGGCTTCAATCCAGGCTGTTTTGGCTCCTTCTGAGGGAAAGCAAGAACGAACGCAAACAACAGTAACAAACAGCTCAGGATTTCAGGAGCGCACGCTTACTTTAGAATTGTTTCGGGCAGCAGTAATAGGTAATAGCATTGTTTTGAACTTTTCAGCAGTGAAGACAGAAGTGGGTATGTTGGGATGGTCCCTTGGTCAGAGCTTTTGGGAACTGACGATTTAAATTAATAACTACCTCCTTTATAATCTTGTTCCTTCATTGCATTTTTGAAAACTGCTAATATTTGAAGAAATAAGCAGTATGGAGTTAGGTTGGCAGGAAAGAGTGAAGCCTGGTGGTGATAGCTGATGATTCCGTTATCTAGATTGGTTTCCACCTCTGGTTTTCATATCCTATTTCCTGTATTGGATTGGATGGAAAAGGTAACGTTAGATGGAAGTTTCTTCAGCTTCCTTAATTTAATAAGCTCTATGTTTGTTCAACAGTGGGTGCAAATAAAGTCAGTGCTATAGAGAAATTAGAATATAAATGTGCGTTTGTTTATTGATAGTGAGTAAATCCAGCTTCATCGTTCATGTTATTACTGTGTAGGAATGAGACATTTTAGGCAAATAGGCCCCAGGACCTAAAGGACAAAAGTAAAGAGATCACTTGTAATTCCTGAAGGAGGCAGGCAGGGAGCCCATACACACTGGACAGAGAGTGGACATACAGCTGTCTAACTTGATCCCTAATTAATTCTCCCTTTGAATTAAGCTGGCTTAAGCTTAGGGTACCCTGCCGACCAAAATTGACCTGTAGTGATGACTTTCAAGTCAGTGTGAGGAACAGAAGGCTCAAGGAAACAGTAGGGGAGAGGAGAAACATACCATTACGGAAGGATTTCTCAGTTGAGGCATTTCTTAGTCTTTCGACATTTTGATCTAGCTAATTCATTTTGGCGGGACTGCCTTGTGTATCGGGCAATGTTTACCAGCATTCCTGGCTCTATCCACGTGACACCAGTGACACCAGTAGGTGTGAGTAGTTGTGATAACCAGAATTTACCAAGACATTGCTAAATTGACAAGGGGCTCACTCCTAGTTGAAGATGTCTCCATTCTAGGTTACATTTCTAAAAACACCTACTGTACTTGCTTTTCAGATAAAATAATAAAGCAGATTTGTGATCAAAAATATGTTTAAATTCCACAGCTACAAAAATAGTTCTTTGTCACCAATGCAGTCTCTCCATTCACCTGCTATGTGGTTGAGTAGCCCAGGTTACCACATATGCAATGAATTTAATGGCTGACCACAACAAAATGTCTTTGTGTGATTTCTTCATGGACTTTAGGAGACTTGATCAAATAAAACTACAGTTGTAGACCAGCCAGTGTCCTCTACATGGTTGAAACACATAACTTGGTTTAGACATCGTTTGACTACAAATGTTACTAGCAACTGAGAGGGGGGTATTTTATTTATGGAAGTTCAACTGACAGTTTTTGTTTTTGAGGTATCTTACCATCTTGTGGCTTTTCAAAGAAAAGTAAATGGTGAGGCTTTACTGGGCAAGAACTCACTTAAAACTTTGTATTCTTTATATTAGATGGCTACAGAGTATGCACTTTGAAAATTTATTGAATAAAGGAGAGTAAAAACAAACTCATTTTCCTCTTGGATCACTCTATTTAAAGATAATGTATTCATTTATTCTGTTACTGCTTATTTATTATCTTATCTATTGTTTTGTGAGTAAGCAAAAAAGCCACATGTCTTTAGAAGGGCTCCCTGCCTGCCTCCTCCAGGAATTACAAAGTGAGCTCTTGACTTTTGTTCTTTAGGTCCTGGGACCTATTCCGCCTAAACTTCCCATTCCTGGCCCGCAATCACATGAAGGATGGAGTTGGGTTTACTCACTACCATAAAACAA